CACGTACACTCTCGCTCTCTCTCTTGTAAGGCCGTCCCCTTCATCTATAAAAGGGGATACGCTCTCTCCAAAAGAGGATCGATCTTAGACAACTCTCAAACACACAACAACAGAACCACCAGGTTCAAACCTCAAGCACACACTCAAACACTCAGCGCACGTAGGAGCTCCCGTCACTCTTGGCCCTTTGGACCGGAGTCTGACCAGACCTCTTGCACCCCCCATCTTTCTCCCTCTCGTTTGTAACCCCACAGCAAACTTCGAGCACCTGGGCTCAGGAATAAAGTCACTGACCGACTCAAACTGGATGTAGGGCACGTTGCCTGAACCAGTATAAACCATGTGTCATTGAGTGCTAGGCCACATCCGATAACAACGTACAGCAAAACTACAAATATTTACGTGTTGGTCACTTTCTGCACCGACACCTTCCTAGCGGCCCTACGCGCTCATCGGAGCCACCATAGGAGCCACCATCAGCATCCCAGCAGCCCCAATGAAGCCCAGCAATGCCAAACCACGGATACCAAAGTGAATTCAGTACACCTGGCTTGCCCAAAAAAGCGACCCCCTTAATCACAAAACTTCCACTAGCACCTAGATCTAGCAGCCCCCGTTGCGCCTAGATGCCGGTAATACCCAATCTTGAAGGCCTTCTCCCAACGCTGTTGCTGCCACCGGAGGAGTTGGAGAAGGAGCGCCATGGTAATGAGGAAAATAAAGATGGTTGGCTCAAGAGCTTTGTCTGTATCTAAGGAGGAAGGAGTGTGTGGATTGCCCAAAAGGTGCATCAAGACCCGGCTTAAATAGGCCAACCTTGAAGATGGAGAAGCGGAAAGGAGCAGTTAAGATCCGTGATCTATGCAAACGCATCAGGGAAGACAAGGTACGTCGGTTCCCTGCAGAAGTGGTGAGACGGTGTTGGAACTTGGGACATTCAGCACTCACGTTGAATTTTTACCGCCGGTAGACCAAACGGTCGTGTAGGGCCGGCGGCCATAACGCGTATCTCAGTGGGCTCGATGTTCCATATGACGGAGTAATGCAACCCCACTAGCATCACCGCATCGATGGTTGAACCGCCGGTGGTAGAAGTTTCATCTGCCGGTTTGATTCCTTTCCAGGCCTCGCTATTGATCCAACCAATGGTGGAAGTATCGCACCGTCGCTTCTCTATTCTACGGCAGTGAAAGTGGCGATGGTGATCGCTCCATCTATAGTAGTGTTAGTGTTGTCCGCGTCCTCCACGTGCTGACGTCGTCCTAGCATGCCAACATCTTCACCAAGGGTCTGCCTTCGATGGTCTTTTAGGAGTTCCGGTCAAGTCTGAACGTCTGTGGCGACGCTCTGGCTGCGGTGGGCGTTAGACAGCCACATAGGCACTTGGGCCATTGGCCTACTATGGCTAGTTATAGATTGATTGATGTTATATTAGGGAAGGAGATCTCACGGTGGTCATACTTCTATAAACCAGCTCAGGGTCCTCCTTGCCTATATATGTACCTTGCCTATTGGCCTCCTAATCAATCTATCAATTTTCAGTGCAATTCTATTGCTTTCACATTCAATTCAATGCACCCACCAGGAAGGTGTTTGATGACCAAAATTGTTAGTTCTAGGAGACAGACTTACCTGTGGTATTCTAACCTGGCTTAGCCGGTTTTGTCAAGTCACCATAGAGACTTCAAACATTAGGTGACTCTCGGCGAGACGATAGAAATACATATGCCCATATCATCAAAATTGATGTGCATATGAGAGAGTTGTAACTCTGGGATGCATGCTTGCTAAGTAAAATCGGCTAAGCCAGGAGTCGGAGTAGAATTTGAAGATTCATGTATGATTTGAGTTGTAAATGATAATCTCCAAGCCGGATAAGATCACCTTAACCTGTATCTGTATCTATATATATACCTAATATTAAAAAGGCAAAAATTTTCTTCACCCATTTTTTTCGTCCACCCCTCCCTAACTAGCTAGATAGAAGAGAATTTCGTATGTGGCTGTGCTAACGCCCGAACACCTGCGCATACACATACTGCAGCGCCTGCCCGCCCGCCCGCGCCTGCTGCTGCGAGCCCGCGCCGCTCCGTTTCCCGCACTCATGCACGTGGGGACCGCCCGCACCCGCTTCATTTCCCGCGTGCACGTGGGTACCGCCTGCGCCCGTGGGGACCGCCTCTGCCTGCGCCCGCTTCCTGCGTCTACTCATGAAACACTTGCAACATGAAGCACTTGTTGTAGCATGCATCTGAAACAGATGAAACATTTAGAACATACGCTTGCATTGAAACATATGTGTATAGTCACTGCAACATATGCTACATCCAAATAAAAAACACGTGCAACGTACGTCTAAAACAACTGAAATATTTGGAATATACACTTGCAATATATGTGTATAGCCATTGCAAGATATGCAACACCAAATCTACGTTTGCAACATCTAGATGAAACACATTCAACATCTAGATAAAACATATGCAACATCCATCTAAAATGCATGAAACATACAGTTGCGACATGTGCTCATCTACTTGCTGCTTGGGCAAATGGAGGATTGTTGACGTGGAGCTCGACGCTAGCGCAGGAGCTCAATGCCACAGAGTGGCGCGGAGGTCACCGGTGTAGAGCTCATCGGCAGCACGGACCTCAGCAGTGGCCGCGGTAGGCGGATGGAGCGCGGCCGCGGTGGGAGGCGCGAGTCTAGGCGGGAGACGCGGTGAAGGCGGCGAATATCTGCACGGGTGGGGCGCGGCGCGGGCGGGGCGGTCCGTCCAGACAGATGGACGCCCTATAGGAAGCATTACTGTTTCGTATGTGTCCTAGACTTATGACTCATACTCATACGAGTTATAACAGCTTGCGTCTAGCAATGATAAATACAGTGTCTGATTCCAATACATATTGGATTGCACCGTACGTATCTTATATCACTACTACAAAAATGATTTTGCGAGGCAGGCCAAAATATTAATGGAGGCGGGCACATCTAGCGACCGTCTCCATAAATGGTTAGGAGAGCTCCATGAAAATGCCCTCCTCCCAAAATCATTTATGGAGCCGGACAACCTAAGACGGTCGTCTTAGGATGTCCACCTCCATAAATTGATTTTCGAAGGTGGGCATCTTAAGACGACCGCCTCCGGTAATCGATGATTTTCGGAGGCGAACGTCTTAAGATGTCCACCTCCGTAAATAGTTGCATTCAAAAATAATTTATAACTTTTTCGTATGAACTCGGATGAAGACAAACTTTATATTAAAATTATAGCCCTCGATGTGATCTACAACTTTGTAGTTATTTTTTTTTTGAATTGAGACGGTTTAGGATCTCAAAATATTGTTCTAAGTTTATAGATGTTAAAATTTAAAATTTAGAATTATTAAACAATCTTGGTTGTTAACATGATATATCCGAAAGTTTCACTTCCCAATAGAATCTATAACTTTGTAGTTGAAATGTTTTTTATTTGAAGTTGTTTCGAGTCCAAAATATGTGTTCGAAGGTTATATATTTTGAAGTTTAAAATTTAGATTTCCTAAGCGATCTCGAATGTTCGCATAGTGAATACCAAAGTTGTAGTGGACGACCTGAGCTACATGTTTGCTGTTGACAAGTTTTTTATTTAAAGTTGTTTAGAGTCTTAAAAATATGTTTAAATTCACACACTTTTAGATTCAATTTTTAAAAATTTTCAAACAATCTTGGATGGAGATACATCCTATACCAAAGATGTAGTACTTGATAAGATTTAAAACTTTGTTGTTAAAAGTTTTTTCATTTGAGTTCATTTACTAGCCAAAATGTCCAATATAAGATTACAAAATATTGATATAAAACAATAACATATTATATAAACATGAATAAGTGTGTGGTGCTTTGGTAGAGACTAGGCAACAGTGAGTGTTATGTTGCGGGTTCGAATCCCAAAAGTTACTTATTTTTTAGTTTTTTTATTTTCTAGAGACTATTAACGGGCGGACATCTTAAGACACCAGCCTTCGTAAATGGCATTAACGGAGGCGGACGTGTTAAGACGCGAGGCGGGTATTGCGCCCGCCTTCAAAAAGCCTGAATAATGGAGGCCTTTTGACAGAGGCGGATGCCGTGCCCGCCTCCGTTAATAAATCCTGTAGTAGTGTATTGCCTCTGTTAATAAATCTTGTAGTAGTGTATGTTACTCAGACTCATGAACTCGCATATAATCTAACGATGATAGGAGTCTGATTCCTATACATATTGATCTGAGTTCCGATACAATGCACGAGCATATTTTGCTAGAATAAATATAAAGGATCATGTCTGATCGACTGAGAGGATCTAATCGCACTAAAAAACAATCTACTATCCTTTTAATCTTATTTTTCTCTCTAAATCCTACATTGTTCTCCTTTCGTCTCGACGGCGATTGAAGGCAGTTTAGTTTGCCTACCGATGTTAGGGAAACCCAAAGTGTGCTTGTCACGATGGGTCATCACAGACAAGCATTCTTGGTTTATCTAGAGAACCTGTTAGGCTGTTAATGTCCTGGCTTCGTCGATTTTCGTTGCCTACCGATGTTAGCCTGTTAGGGAAACCCAAAGTGTGCTTGTCACGATGGGTCTTCACGGCCATGGCTTCGTCGATTTTCGCAAAGACTCTGCATCTAGCGCCTTTGCATGCTGCATGTGGCGTGGTCAAATATATATTTGTTGCATCAAGCACCAAAGGTTTTAGGGGATTACTTCAGTATTCGTTCGTTCCAAAATAGCATTTGCACCATATCGTATCAAGATCATTCATACCATGAAATATCATGTAATTTAAATTATTTCCCATCAAAATATTAGACCTTTTCAAATCTGCAAAAATCTTGACCATTAGCTTGCTGTCTCCGTGACGAGGGAACCCGGCCTACGCCCATTTTTTTGGGATAAAAAAAGGAAGTTGAAACGATGTTTGGAGAGATGGGTTCATGTGTCGCTATGCTCATCTAAAAGAACATTCTCTGCATCGATCAGCTAAGGAACTCAAGCAGGGAAACAGCAAGCTTGGCCAGCTTGAATGCGGCGTCGTCCTCCGCAGTCAATGGCGACGCCACTTTCTTCTCCGTGAACGCGTCCTCGCACTCCCTGGCGGCGCTCGCCGTCCTCTCAAAGGTCAGCGCCGCCCGGTCGAACTTGCCGTCGTTGACTTGGGCGGTGCAGCCGGGCAGCAAGCCCACAATGCCGCCGTACAGCGCCTGGCACGACACCAGGGCGTCCCTGGTGGCCTCATCTCTGCCGCCGCCGCTTGTCTTCAGTAGTCCGCCGATCTTTGCCCCGGTACTGGTGGCGTTGGCCGCCAGGAGGTCGATGGCGATGACGGGGAAGTTGGGGCCGTCGTCGCGGCTCCGGTTGTCGGAGCCGAGGGCCGAGATGCAGAAGTCGATGCCGAAGTCCCTGCTGCCACCGCCGATGCTCTTGCACAGGGGGAGCAGTGGGTCGATGCCGTCCGCCTGGGCATGACTAGTGTGATGATGAGTGACTGAGAAGCCTGAGAGCAGGAGCGTAGAGAGGAAGACGACGACATAGCTCGAGTAGAAGGCGGCGGAGGAGGCCATGATCGCTCTCATGGTGGCCCCTCTTTCTCTCAGCCTCAGGTGCTGTGTTGTTATGTGTCGTTGAGATTGCTCTGTCAGTAGTCTGTAGAGGGACAGTGCTTATTTATAGGTGAGTTTGTTTGCATGCGAGGATTGGATTGATGACTCATAAGGTGAGTTGATCGTTGATTGCATATAGATGGATTGTTTCCCATTAATTATTTTCCATGGCTAATGCCAATGTCAATCAAGCATTTTATGAGATTCCTAGCCAGTGCATTTACTACCAAAGATTTTCCCCCTATTTTTCACCGTTGAGATAAATGGTCACAAACTAATACTCCCTCCATCCCAAATTATAAGTCGTTCCAACTTTTTTGAAAAGTCAAAGCATCTCAAATTTGACTAAAATTATAGATAGAATTACAAAGATTTATAATATCAAATAAGTATACTGTAAAAAATATAATTAATGAGGAATCTAATGCTACTTATTTGGTATCATAAATGATATTATTTTATTATATAAATTTGGTTAAACTTAAAATGATTTGATTCTCAAAAAAGTTAAAATGACTTATAATTTGGGACGGAGGAAGTAGCATTCATCAAGGTTCGTTTCCAAGGTTTTATTGTGTTTTTAGAAAGAAAAAAAATAGAAATGAAAGAGGAAACCACAAAAACGGAAATGATAGCAATTTCTACCTTTTCGGACCATTTTAGCGATTTATTGTTGTATAGACCAGAAATTACCCAATATTATACCAATTTTGGCCTCTCACCTCCCCCCAAGGCCAAATTATACTGTTTGAACCAACCATGAGAGAATTATTGTTTATCACAATAAGTTCTTCCATCAAAAAATCACAATAAACTTTGGTTTAGTCCAATCACAATAAGGAATGTTCCCTTGATCAAGGGTAGTAGCTTGAGCTAGGGTAGTAGCAAATATGTAGATGGCATTCTAATAATGGCTTTTGAAGGAATGACGTTCGTAAAGGGAGCAAAAAATTAAATATACCGCTTATTTTAATCTTTTAATTAGGAAGTGCATATCTTAGCACCAGACGGCAGCATATATGTGACTGTGATATGCAAATCTGAAAAGTATTAAGAAATTTCATGCCAAATATAATCTGCTTCTAATACCGGTTTATGTAGCAAGCATGCAACAAACATATGAGCAATTATTAGCAAATGGCCCGAGAAGAAAGTAGAAAGGAAAATCAGCAATCACAGAATCACCGCTATCAAAATAATTACATACCACAATCATCTTTGAATTGTACAGGCTGCAATATAATGACATATTCATGTGATTAAGGTGATTAATTCCACATTTATCCAAAAAATGGTCATTAATCACCGCTTATGGCAACCAAACTTGGGTGCATATCTCTCACAACTAAAAAGACTATGTGCGACAATCCAACGTCGGGTCATCGGTCTGCCTACATGCGATCCCACGCTCCCTCGCACGGTTCCCCCCGGCGCTCGCTCCCTCCCTTTCCCTGCAAATACCACTCGCCGCGGGACCCACCTGGACGCCTATTAGAAAATGCCACCCGGCAAATAACGTGGAAGCCCCCCGCGTGAAAATCCCCCGGCGCTCACTCGCTCTCCCGCACGATCCAAAACAAAAACCACCCGATCTCCCTCGCCCCCTCGTTCGCCGCAGCTCGTCGCGCCGCCGCCCGCGCCCGCCCTGCGCCAACGCCACCACCCGCGCCCGCCCTGCCCCTACCCCTGCCCTGCCACTAGCGAAGCCTCGGGCCTCGGCCGGAACCCTAGGGCCCGCTCAGCCTCAAGCCTCCGCCCGCTCGGCGAGAGCTCCAGGAGCGACCGGTGAGGAGCGGCCGCATCCTGTCGAGCAGCAACATCTAGCTCGCCCTCGCTCTCTGCAACTGCTCTGAGGACTACATCGCGGCGGACCCCAGCTTCTTCAACGCCTCCTACACCCTCGCTCGCTGCTGCCACCAGGTGTGCCAACCTCTTCCTGCTATGCGAAACCAAAAATCCAACCCTAACTTAAGTTGATTGGTTGTTTGTATTCGGATCTGATCTAATTACATTTGTGTACATGTATTATGCCTGCTAACTTGGACCCCTTTCAAAGATTATTATGCGTACATGTGCACACCCATGTCCTTTACTAGATCTGCACCTACAGTTCTGTGTGCTTTGCACTTAATGTTCCTAGCCCTTATGTTCTTCATCCTCCCCACCTTGGTGGCATTTGGATTTGGATAGGCAGTGCAAGGGATCAAGATATGTGATGATGAGACAGTAAGAGTTATGTTTTGTTATCACTTATTTGAATTCTCTACCCGGTGACATTCAAAAAAAATTCTCTACCACTACTGTTAGCCCTCTGGATCCAAATATCCCCTTATTGCTCTTCATTGCTAACCTGCTTCACTTGCCTTGACTGATGATATAAATAAATAAATGTCTCTCTAAAGTACAAATGCTACAGTAATAAAAATCACGGCCTGGCAAATAAAGAAGTTATTAGAACAGCTCAAATATTCAGTTTTCTAACTGTGGGGTTCTGTGGGTTGGCATACTCGTTTGTTTGCAATCTGGAGAGTATTTTCAAATGTTGTACTATTGCCTATTTGACCGTGCTTCTTTTTGAAGAATTGAAGACAGAACTTATCAAGGACATAAAGTGGGATAAAACATCAAGCACTAAGATAAGAGGTGAGCAAAATTAGCTTCTATTCATGAATCTATGAAAGAAACATGTGTTCCAGACTTCCAGTGCAGCTTGTTCATGATTTTTGGCGCATGTTTAAAATTTTTAGTTCCCTGACAGAAGATTCTGAACTATGAACATGGGTGTTTGGTGACTTATCGACTTAGTGATCTTGATGCCATGGAACTTGCTTGAACATGTCTCGTAGTTCTTGAATCAGTTCCTAACTTCATGGTTGCTCGAAAATTTCTCATAGTCTTGTGTTATCTTGAATGGTAGTTGTCAATGTTTGCGAGCCTCAAGCCCTTGATTGACCAACTATTTGTACTGTTTATTGGCTTTCCCATACAGTCATGATACTATGGTTCTATAATGCTGTACAGTCACGGTGTCAGAGAAATGGAATAAAATTTTGAAATTTCATGATCTAACTATTTCGGTGTGGCTTACTTGAACTAGGCTTCATAAGTGGAACAAAGTGAATATAGATGGAGTATGCTGGTAGCTGATGAAACTAGGACATTAGGACTTACGCAGGGAAAGGCCTGTGCCCCCCTACATTGACTGGTGCACAGTGTATCTAGCTTATGAAATAAGGTATTTTGGAAAACCTGACTTGCATGTGCCATTTTTGCTTTGTGGTATTCAGATATCATAGCTGCAAGGCAACTCAACTAATATATCCGAGGTGCCCTACATTCCTCAGTGGTTACAACCTATCACCCCTAGCCTCTTCAAGGATTGTTGCCTGCATTGTTTTTTTCCTTTTTAGTTGTGCAAATGTTGTCTTCTTCCTGTCTAATTCGCCCTGAACCTGTGATTTGTGGGTAAAGAATTTGGCTGGTTGGGCCTTATTTGTACACTCATGTTGCATGTTTTATGCAGAGCCGGAAGGACGTGGAGGGGTCGCTATAGTCGTCAAGAGGTTTGTCTCGTCACTTTCTCAGAGGCCTAATAAAACTTTTACAGTTTTCCAACGTCGTTCGTTCAATCAATTTTCTATCTACTAAATCATAAACATATTGGTTGTTTGGCATAGGAAACAAAATGCAGAATCTGATTACTGTACTGAAAAAAATATGTTCAGTTGTGCTGTGAATTGCTTCTCTCTGTTTCCTAGATGCAGAGTAGGGCTTGTGTCAATTTTTTTTGGCCACGTACATTTCTTTGTCAGCGAGCTTTTTTCTGAATAGCAAGGTTCTGCTCCTGACTTCTCTGCAATGTTTACAAACTGATAGACATCTAATGACTGAGCAAGCCAGGAAACAATTCGGCAACTATTCTTTTGCCTTCACTTTCTGAACTTCCATGTAGCATGACTGAAACTGGCAATTGACATTGTTAAAATTAAACTGAGCACCAATCTTAGCATTTATGATAGTTTTTTCAAACTATCGCCCTGGTCACTGAAAAATGTTCCAAGTTACAAAAACTAGAAAGAGATGCGTCTTCCTTGACTACACTGTCTATTCCTTCTCCTATATACAACACCGAGTTATAAAATCTGAATTGCATTGAAATTTTGCTTCCTCGTAACTACTTTCGAGTAGCTTTGTTGCAATTTCAAGATCTGTGACTTCTTAAGTATGATGGTCTCATTATAGTATGTTAGAATTATAGTCTATTCATTACGAGTCTTTTGTATTGAATTAAATAATTGCCTATATCTTATTGAGTTACTAATTGCAGATACTTAGCCTATTCGCTTGTTGGTTTCAGCTAGGGCTTATCAACCATGGTACAGTATTTTTCTCTCATAACAAACCAGCACCAGCCGGGCTTATCAGCCCAGAAACCAACTAGCGAACAGGCCGACTAATGAAACAATGTTTCAAAGCGTCAAATGCATACTAAACTAGATCATAATTCAATACTAGAGGTATATGGTTGAAGGCATGTTATTATCTAAAATATGAAGAAAGGTGGCCTTGGTATACCAGTCCTGTATGAAGCAAACTGATAATTCAAAAGATGATTAGTTCTAAAAGGTTGAGGAATCAATTAATCTTATTATGGTGATATAAACTTTTATGTGCGTATGCATAAATGTATAATACTATAAATGCATATCTTGATGATTGCAAACCATCAATGAGAATTTTAGCCATGCACAAAATTCAATTTGTAATATTGACATTCCGAACATCACGCTCATATTATCGTTTTTTATAACAATACAACACGTTCATGCTCAAATTATCGGGCATTATTTGTTCCCATTGCAACATACGGAAATGTCTATACAGTAGAGTTGATGAGCATGTGTTCTTCGTGACTGTGTTAATTTCACGAACTTTGCTTTTTGGATTAAATGTCACTTTAATATTGGTATTTA